CGGAGCCAAAGCGTTTTCTCTCGCTCTTTGAGTCGCTTACAGCTACATACGTTGAATGTGGGTCACACACTGCGTTTGAGTGATTTTTGGTACATGCTGCTGTCTCTGGCAGACTTGGGTTCAGTTGTGCACGAGACGCGTGCAAAGCGCCACGTTTGTAGAGCTTGCGTCGTTTCAGCGCTCGCCGCCTGACAAATTCGGCGCGCTTTTCTTTTGTGGAAATTCCGGTTACTCGAATCAATAGCCCAGTTAAAGGACAAAAAAAAACATAATAAAAGGGAAAGGAAAAGTGTCGCCAGCAATTGTGCTTTATTTTTGGTCCTTTGTGCGGCTTTGTTAGTTGCACTTGGCCGCCATTTGTTGTTGTTTAAGTGCCAGCAGCAGCAGCGCCTGTAAAACTGTAAGCCAAATTTGCAAGTCAACATTAAAATTTGCAGTCCAAATGTAGTCCTAAGTGGCAGGTCCAACCTTTGGTTATCGCTTAAGCTGCTGTTTATCGCGATGTGTGCGTCTGTGTGTGTGTGTGTCTCTCCTTAAAAGTGAACATTGTGTATATTACGCATACGCCGCGTTGTCAACGCACAAGTGACGTGACAAGCACAAAAGGAGATGTTGCCCGACAGCAAAAGCTGACGCAAACACACAGACAGTCGCGCTGACAGACGGACAGTCGCCACAGTCGCTGCGACGGACATTTATGACAAGCCAAAGGATCGCACGAGCTTTTTGTTGTGCCTGCCTGCACTTGACGCCGGCCATAATTAAAGTGTAACCGCATTTTAGGCGTGTGGCGCCACAAGAGACCTTGCTGTGGGCGTGGCACACTTTATTGTAGCAGTTATAGTCGTTACTGTTGCGACTGGCCACGTATCCATTTTTGTCAACTGTCAACTCTGTCAGCGAGAATTTCCATTTGACACAGATCCCAACTTTTCGACAGCCACAAATTTGGCAGACAAATTCACTTTAGATCTGTGTCCAGTTATTAGAATCGGGGTTGAAATCGCTCAAGTAGATAATAATTTAATTTAATTAATTTAGAATATATTATATTTTATAAGTGCAGCTCTCTCAAAAGTATGTTATTCTAAATATAGTGAGTACCTTCTAATAAAAATCTACAAAGCCTGTAAGTCCTCAACACACGCACAAAGATAGTCTTGCTATAGATATCAATAGCGTTAAATAAAAGTAATTATTCTACTTATTGTAAGCATAGGTTATAAATAACTGAAAACATCGGTAAATGACCCTATGGAAAACGAATGTGTAGAAATTAAGTTATTTCGAGATCAATCTTGGAATTTAATTTTGTATACCCGTGACTAACATTTGCTGTTACCTTGAGAGGTATCTTGCAGTCGATCATTTTGCAGTTCCGACTTCCTAATTGTTTTCCTTTGCCGCTCCCAATGATTTTTGTGCGTGCCCACAATCTCTTATTTTTATTTCGTGTTGGTTTTTGTACATTGAAGCACCTGTGCTTGGTCTGCTACCAACTCCCAGCTCGATACCCCCCGCTCTCTCTGAGCCTTGAAATTTATCGCTTTTTTATTGGACAACCAACAGGAAAACTTGTGTTTAATTCATAAGCAAAACATCCCATTGTACTGTTAGTTTGGTTTTTCTTTCTCTGCTTTTAACATTGGCTTCTCGTCCGGCGGGCGGCTGATTAAGACGATAATAATGTCTATTAATATTAAACAAGAAGCCCCCTCACGCCACGCCCCTGGCATGCTTTTGGGCTCTAGTCTGCGTGTGAGTCTATGAAGAAGTTGGAAGCTAATTGAATGGCCCGGCCTTTGGGTAACTTAAGTGTGTGGCGTAGGCTTCATTTGCGGCCCAACTTATGCTTGCTTTACATATATTTTATATGTATCCCTGCGGCCATTTTATGGACACATCATCAACAGACGCGCACATGTCGCTGCATACTCCTAACTAAAATACACAACTTTAATTTTAATACGATCTTCCGGCAAAAAAAATTAAATACACACACAAATTTCACATGGCTTTTATCCTTTAATGGGCTGACCCTATACCCCACGGGAGGCAGGCATAAAAGCTTCTGGAATATAGTTTAAATATTGAATGTGATGTGTGAGTGCGTGTGTGTGTTTGTCGCACACTCAATCCATGCTTCGTAATGCAAATTGCATTATATTCCAGAGGGTTGCAGCGGTTGACATGGAATGCCTCAAGTTGTTTTTGTGGGTTAGCTAAAATCAAGCGAAGGTCCACGTTGCGGCTGCTTCCAATCTGATGACGTTATTATGGGAGAATTCAAATGGAGAACAACAAGTGGACTCGCTAGGCCGAACATTAAGTACTCTAAATCTCTATAAGCTTCGGAGGGATATAAAATAAATAAAACAAATAAATGTAAATAGACAGATATGGCTAAGACGACTCAGCTCGTCGTCCTTATCAAGAATATATATACTTGATGGGGTCGGAGATACCTCTTTCTGTCTGTTAAATCATTTTTGTTGTTGTCCTTTTTGCCCACTTTCAATAGGCTTAAACAGGGTATGAATAATTTTTGGATAATGAACTTTCTTTCTGATTAACCATATGACCTTGAAAGCGTAACACAGCTCATAAAAAACGTTTCTCGGCCTGAGTTCTTATAGAGTAAGATTTTATGAGTCATCTAGTGTTAGTGTCAACAAATTACGTTTTATAATTCCCATGTGGTTCTAGCACTAATTAAGTATTGTATGTGGGTTCATGTCTAGGCTAAGGGAGTGTACCTCTAACTAGCTATTAAATGCTAGCGCAGCAACACGTGAATGTCCTTGTTTTTATCGTTCTTGTTAGATCCAATCAACTATTCAATTTATAGTGCATGACTAATTCAGTTAATTAACTCAATTTGTTTCCGCTTATGTCTCAGTAATCAATCGCGCAACTGAAGCTCGCTTAAAAGGTGCCACGCCCTCTTTGCCTGGCCTGTGGCAACTAACAACTGCTTGACAATTTGTTACGTTTATGCTGCGATTTGATTCGATTTGCTTGGCTGCGTGTCCATAAATCAGAGGCTAACGTGACGTCATTTATCCGAGAGCAAACAAACAAAACAAAAAGAGAACAAAAAGAGTGAAAAGAAAACGAAGGATGCCCTTAAGGACTTGTTTACCCAGTTGCCGTCGAGCGCCGCCCCTGGCGCCCGTCAACCTTGTGACCCCAATTGATGTTGTTGCAGGTTCTTGTGGCGTGTTGGGCACGATGTCTCTGAATCGTTGTGCGGGGCGACAATCAATAGGCAAACATCAAAGTTTATTGTTCAATCACGACATCAGTTCCAGTGCACAGTTCAAAGTTGAAAGCCCCCGATCTCATTATGCATACGCCGCGTGTGCCGAGTCGAACTACTAAAAACTTATTCAAGACGTGGCAAATCAAATATTTATAAAGCAATTAAATCACGAGACATGCAACGAGCATTGCAGATGAGCGCGTGAAACGGGTGACAGCGTGAAATTTGGTTCTCAAACAGAAGAAAGTCGTGTACTATGCATATATAGATCTGAGAGGAGCCCTATAGAGTATATCTTAGTCTATGCGAGCACTAACGGTATCTCCACTCTCCAGACCTAGAAGATTCATTAAATTAATATGAATAATTATTTTCTCATCGATTCCTTCCTTAAGGGATATAGAAACAGGTCTTACACACATATGTATATGTATTTACCAGATCTCATGTCCATGAAGTCACGAGAAAACAAATGTGTTCAAATAACTTCCCATTGGATCCATCCCTAATTGGCAGGCGCTAATTTTAGGGCCCATAGCATGCAGGACATCCTGTGCAAGCGCACAAGGCGAATTACTGGCAAATTTTAAATTCCCGAGGAGCGGCATTTGATGCAACATTTTCCAGGCATTTGTCAGGCATTTGCCAGGCATAGCCTGCAGCAGCAAATGCAGAAACAGCAGCAACAGCAGCAACAGCAGCAGCAACAACAATGTGTGTCCTTCAACAACAAGAGCTGCCTGCCTTTTGCCTTCCTTTTTTACCTTCCTGCCAGGCACACAATGTGCAGCAACGTGTGCGTATCTGCGCGCGTCTGTGTGTGTGGGGCGGTGTTGAAGGCCATATTAAAGTTTGGCCCAGCTGTAGTTTATTTGCATCTGATATGCGCTTTTTGCGGCGCGTTGTTTACCTTTTAATCTGCGCTGGCGGGCATTAAAAATGCGTATGCCACGATTATTACTCATACGTCACGTGTTACGCGCACATTTGTTATTTATGAAAATCGTTCGTTTCCGTTGCTTAAGTCTGCAGCTTAATAACGAATGCTCCCGTCGCCAGTCGAAATTAGCTAAGGGATGCCATCAGAGCACAGGATCCGCACCTATGCCCACCACAAATAGTAACAATTAACAATTAACATTCGACCCGGCTGCTGTCTGCATAGTTACCTAATGATTACACTGTCCAACAAATAAGCTATGCTTGTAATAGCTGTGTATAGCAATTAAATAGAGTTACATATGTAAACTATTTACACTTGGAAGCAAAATATTTTGTTAATCGATTTTATAAAAATAACTTATAAGCACATTCTTTTCAAAAATAATAACAAAAATAATTTAAAGTATAAATTTAAAATATTTTATTTCAATTCGGTAAATTCAAATTTGAAATGGTTTTTATTTTTTAAGCAAGTTTTTGAGCATTTCATTAACTGTTGTCACACAAAAGGCAGCTTTTATAAACGGAAAAATGAGATAAAATTTTTGATGTGTTAACCAGTGTAGCCCAGTCTACCTAGGCTGGGTCTACCCCATGGCGGCAAAGAAACTACACAGCTGAGACGCGCATCGCCCGGCTGCTGTGCGAAGCTTTTGCTCAACACCAAAAGCTTTCACTCAAAGCCCAAAAACTTCTAGTGGCTGCCGCTCAAAATTTCAGTTCAGTTTTCAAAACGTCGCCGTCGACGCAAAGTCGTCAAACGCGTCGCGCAATCTACAAAAAAAGAAAAATTGCAAAGAGCGCAGTTTTACAAAAAAAAAAAAACAAGTAAATATAAAAGAACATTAAAATTCGTATACAGTTTATAAAGTTTTGTTTGGGTGCGTATATAATTTTGTAATTTGCCATGTTGTTTCTCAATGCGTTATCAGAATCCGGTTTCAAAAACATACTCAACAAATGTGTTGTGTTTATTTGTTGTTGCACAAATGAAAATTAGAACTTGATAAAAATATACAAATTGTATTCCATATTGGCAAGTTTGTATATACTCTATGCCACATAAGAATTTCAGATACTCGCATACATGTATCTATATGTGTGTATTTATAAGTGTGTGCGAGTGTGTATTCGAAATGAAAGTCGTTTTCATACGTGCTCATTTATAAAGACTTAGATATGCATACAGATTGTTAAAATATGTAATTGATTACCAATTGCAATATGAAATTCCAATTGTAAAAAAATATTTCTAATTCAAAAGAAAAATTATAAGACCCAAAATAAAATCTGACAACTTTGAAATATTTCTGGATTAAAAATAGCTCGTTTTCATACTAATTTTTATAAGAGGGCACAATTCATGTGACAAGAATTTTAAACATGATTCAAGCGATTTCTTATAAACTCATAACCGAACCCCTATTTAAGCTATAATTCTTGATTATAATATATACTGGATTTATAGGCTATACATACCTAAATCTTATTCATTTAATGTTTTACTATATTTTTGAGCCTTCCTTATCTTGTTGGTTTGTGCCTAGATTTTTGTTACTCAGCTAGAAAATATTTTTAAAAAAATTGTTGTCATATTTAAAAGTCATTTTAATTTTATATATATTTTAAATGTTTCTAATTTTTCTAAATAAAATAATATTTATTTTCGGCTCATACATTCTTATTTAAATTAATTTTAAATTATAACTTAAATTTTTATTTTTACAATCAAAGTTATAATTTTTACTTGGTTATGCTGAATAATATTTTATTAATTTATACAATTGATATACAACATTATTATTATTAACTTTATAAATTTGTATTTATGTTTATTTTCTAATCTTTCATTTTACAGCACACGCAAATTGCACATACACAACTGCAACACTAAGAAGAAGAACGCACTATAACAACAAAACATGCTGAGGTGATTTATTTTTTATACCCCTACAGAGGGAATTATTTACTTTTTTATATTATTCACAATCATCTATTATTCACCACAAAAACACAGCGAGCGGGTCACGCCTATATAATATAAAAAAAATAAAGGAAATCAAAATAGTATATTAAAACTACAACAACAGCAATCAGAAGACGACGTCATTCTATAAAAACGCAGACCAACTTACAGGGAGAGAGAGAGAGAGGCAGACCGAGAGAGAGAGAGAACGTGAAGAAGCAACAAATATGAGAATAGTCGTTAGGCTGGTTCAAGTTCTTGACCATGGGATGCCAATTGAACAGCTTTTGGAGGTAGACCGCGTTAAAGTTATGTCAGACTTGACTCTCTCTCTCTCTCTCTCTCTCCCCTCTCTCTCTCTCTCTCTCTCTCTCTCTCTCTCTCTATTTGTTGTTTGTTTTTGTTTGCCAGACTTTGATGGCAATCAACAGGTGCCCAGAGACCCAAACAAATTACCGCAGGCCCCATGACAATTGTCGCACCACGCGAGCCACTTGAATGAGAAGTGAAACAAGGCGGAATGAAGCGAGCTTGGAAATCGGAGCTTTGACGACGCCTAGCTACCGCATAAAATATTTAACGGGGGGTTAGGAACCACCCACACAAAAACTGAACTCAATGTTAAATCGTTACGACAAAAGCTCTTTATTTTGATAAAAATCCTATTTCAAAAGTAGAGACAATGGCAAAAGTTGATTCTTTAAATATTTTAGACAATGTACATCATTCAACTTTTTCAAATGGGCCAAACTTAAGGCGACGCCTATGGGCGTGGCAGCGGTAAAACTCAAATGAATAACACAAACAAAACAACAAAACGAGAACAAAAAGTCAACAAGGCGCCGGCAACGTTAAGAAGTTTGTAAATTTGAGATCCCAAAGGCTTTAAAATACAGGTGGTTTAATTCCTGATGTTACGAGTGTTCGATTCCTGGTTTAATTCCTGATGCACCCTTGGGTGCATAGAAATTCATAATATTCGCACATTGAAGCACATACAAAGTCGAAGAGTCTGAGGCTTCTCCCCACTCACTCATGGTATTTAAAACCATTATTTTCAGTTTCTTTTTATTCAGACTTATCCTTTACTGTCAAAATCTTAGCTAAATTTAATAAAGCGTCAATTTTGTAAACGTCTGCCAGGATTTTATGCAAATGTGGCAACGCCGCAATGTTATGTTGGCCGCAGTCCGTTAACTAGTTGGCAAAAGTTATCGATCGATTGTAAAGCTATGAAATAAATGTTTATTGAAAGCTGGCCAACATATTTTAAAATAATTAATATTAATATTAATATAAATCATCTCCATATATAAAACTGTTTGTCCTGACTGACTGACTGACTGACTGACTGATTGGTGATTAACGCACAGCCCAAAGCCGTAAGAGCTAGGAAGCTGAAATTTAAACTGTAGTTACCTTATGGGATGAAGGTGCACGTTAAGACGGTGTTTCGGGATTTTCCACCCGCATGGATGAAAAAGTCTTTTGAAATGAAACATTATTATTTAGCATCCGATCGGCCTCAAAATCATTCTCAAAGATCTTGGTTTAAATACATTTGACAGGTGTTTCACATTTTTCGAAAAATACATTCTTCCTTGTTGGAAATAGGGGGGAAAGACTTGGTGGGTGACGTTTCGCCTTTAAATGCATTTCCAAAAATCTAAACGAAAAATCATTAGAGACGTGTTTCACGCTTTTCGCAAAATCAAAGCATTCTCGATGGAAAATGCATTTTAAAGATTTTTTGGACAAGTTTTAAGTTTTGTAATGAATACGTGAATGCATTCTTGGGTGGCAAATGCCCAAATGCGGGTAAAACGTTTAATAAACAAAAGATTATTGTGCAGCTTCAAGATTCTCACCCCAAGACTAACATAAGCCGAAACCGTTGATTCCAACACTTATGCAGCTCAAGATGGTAGGGGTAGATTTCAATTTCCCACGAGCGTGTACTTAGTGGAAAAGCAATAAATTATATAGCATGTATATATAATTTATATAATTAATTCGGTGCAGCCGTTTATTCAGTGCATCTTGTAAAGTGGCAGCCCTAAAAACTAAAAAAAAAAAATAACAGACAAGTCGACTTTGTTTTTAGAATTTAAGCATATGTTTTCAACCCGAGGCATGATCAGTAATACAATAAGTATTGCAGTTCAGATTATGTTACGAACAGCAAGGCAAAGTCAAGGTGCTCGCTCTTCAATGTAGAGGCCAGCTTGCTGTGGGCTCAACAGGTGCTTGTTGTAGTTGCCGCTTGCCACATGCCACTTGACAGTTGCCAGTTGAAAGTGGCACAAAAATGGTGTTAATTTGCTTGGCCCACGCGACGTATGAGTAATACGTGAGCATATAATAGAAATTGCCAGCCAGGTAAACACAAATTGTGTACGTTCACAACATTTTAGCCGGCAACAAGTTTACTGCACTCTCTATAGACCCGCATCTCATGATGACATCATCGGCTGGGGCCGTGCTTTGCCGGCTGTGCTAATGAATCAGCTGCCTTCATTTAAGCTAATATAATTGACAACAACAACAACAGTTTTAAAGATTATAATAATAACTATTATTTTACTTCTCTCATTATTGCAGCGATAAGAACGAAGCTGAGTCGAGCACGCCTCTGGCCGATTTCATTGTGCCGCCGGATCCGGAGCGGGTGGAGGAGCCAATCGTGCCGCTGGCACAGCTGCCCAAAATGAGCGAAACACCCGCATTGCCAATTGCCACGCCCACGGCAACACCAACAAGCACAGGCACAGGCGCAGGCACAGCGACACCAACGACTGCAAATGGCAACACAACTGTGGCCAGGAGCCGCTCCAGCGGTGAGGACGGCATCTTCTCGGTGCTCTACTCGGTGGGCAAGAAGGTGGCCATTGTGGGCTCAATTTATCTGGTCGGATATATGGGCTGGTCTGTGGCCTGGCTTATAGCGCCTGTCATTTTGTCCGTGGCCCGCGATCAGCTGGCGAAGACATCAGCGAAGAAGCGCGACATTGCCAAGGCATCGGCGCTGGCCTCCGAGAAGGATGTGATCCTGGCGCGCATCGACGAGCTGCCCGCCTGGGTATATTTTCCCGATGTTGAGCGCGCCGAGTGGTTAAATAAGGTAAGCTCTCCAGCCTGACTAACCCGCGTCTATATATTCAAATCATGTTTCGATAAAGTATTTAAGTTTCTCTATGCAGACACTGAAAATCCCAAGGTTAATAATAAATCTAAATTTAATTTATAGTTGACTTCTACTAACCTTGTCCGTCAATCCGCTCGTCCGTCTGTTACTATGCAAACCAGATTCTCAGTTTTAAAGCTATAGTCATGAATCTTTGCATAGGTCCGTCCTAATGTTGTAGGCAGTATATATGTATGTCGGAACCGGCCGGATCGGACCATTAAATCTTCTTAATATCGGACAATTCTATCATGAAGTTGCCATAAGAACTATCAGTTAAACATGAAGTTATTTTATTAAAAACCTTTTTGTTTATCAAGACAACTTGACAAATCCCGGCATTTTTTTCAGTTATGCTAAGGTTGAAAATCTTATCAACATCGCACAACTAAGTATATCGAAAATCAGGCTTTTTTTATGTTTTTAAAGATAACTTGAAGTCCTTTTTAGATTTGTGTACTCAATTTAAAATTATGTTTTAAATCCATCCTATCTGCAATTATTTTGTATCCCAGTTATATTCACATTTGCTTATGAACTTTGCTCAAAAATGTTTCTGAAAATATTTTTGGGAATACGCTTAGCTTTAAAAACATTAAGACCGCCAGATTAAACACTTTTTATCCTCCCAATAGATTCTGAAGCAAGTGTGGCCCAATGCCAACCATTTCGCCCGCTCCCTGGTCAAGGAGACGATTGAGCCAAATGTGGCTTTGGCCCTGTCGCAGTACAAGATGCACGGCTTCCGCTTCGATCGGATCATATTGGGCACAATACCGCCGCGCATTGGCGGCGTGAAGATCTACGATAAGAACGTGGACCGAAATGAGATTATAATGGACCTGGACCTATTTTATGCCAGCGATTGCGATATCAACTTCTACTTGGGTGGCATGAAGGGCGGCATTAAGGATTTCCAGATACACGGCTGGGTGCGCGTTGTGATGAAGCCACTGATACGCTCCATGCCGCTGGTGGGCGGACTCCAGATATTTTTCCTAAACAATCCCAATATTGACTTCAATCTGGTGGGTGTGATTGACTTTATGGACATGCCCGGACTGTCGGATCTGTTGCGTCGCATCATTGTGGAGCAGATTGGCAATGTGATGGTGCTACCCAACAAGCTGCCCATATCCCTCAGCGAGGAGGTCTCCGCTGTGGCGCTCAAAATGCCCGAGCCTGAGGTGGGTCGCAAAAATTATTATCTGCATACACATACAGATATAAATATATATAGAAGACTAACCGATTTTTAAAGCCGTAAATACTAGATATTTGAATATTACGGATTTTTTGCAAAACTCCATTTAATACCAGAAACTTTTTTATTCGATCGGCCTCAAACTAATTTTCAACAATCCTTGTGAAAAAAACACAGGTCCTAAGCTGAACTCGATTGGCTTCCATGTAAACCCGAGCAAAGCCGGCCAATATTTTAGTCATTTATAATATTATAGATATTTTTATTACAGGGTCTGTTGCGTATACACGTCGTGGAGGCAAAGAATCTGATGAAGAAGGACATCAGTATGCTCGGCAAGGGCAAATCGGATCCGTACGCCATTATCAATGTGGGCGCACAGGAGTTCAGGACGCAGATCATTGATAATAATGTGAATCCCAAGTGGGATTATTGGTGTGAGGTACGTAGGCTGGCTGCTATGAAACTGCCATGAGACAGCGTTGCTTTTTGTAGTTTGTTGTTGCCGTTGCCCATCGATTGCTGCATGCTACAAAACACACGCACATAAACACACACCCAATCAATACCCATGAACTTGATATGCCGTAGAATTTTGTTTTTCTATTTTCATTTATAATTTTCATGCATATTTCTTGACATTATGTACTCGTATTTTGTTTGTGCGTCTCGCGCCTGCCACTAGGCGCCAGTTTTTATTGAAATGGGTCAATGGGTCGACATACTATTGAAGGACTCGGATGATTCCAAAAAAGACGAGAGCCTCGGCAGGTAAGCTATAAATTTAACTAAAAACAAAAACAAGATCTCTATGGGTTCGGCTTACAACGTTCAGTTGGCACTCAACTTACGATACCCTATCCGATTTCCCATCCCCCCAAATTCACCGTACATCATATGTGAGTAATATCAGTAATATATATGTTGGCTACCGTGTTGTATTAGTGCATGCTTTGTTCTAACTCTGAATAGGATTATACGTTTTGCTCTTGCTGTCAAGTTTAGCCAATGCTCCCTCTCTCTCTTTCTCTCTATCTCTCTCTATCTCTGTCTTTCTCTGTCTTTCTATTTGATCTTCAACACACTTGTTTTTCTAGGCGTCTATTTTTACCACCATTAACCACTTGGTTGGTTTTTCTTTGTGGGACTATGATCAAAGTATGCCAGGCGTACAGGCCGATGATGTATTGGGCAGGTTGTATTGCGGCAGGAGGCTGCATTGTTATTAAATTACTTTTATTGCCGTTTTTAGTTTCAGTTATGTTCCATCTTGTTTGCAAGTTATACCTCCCAATAAACTAAGTACTAAATAGCATTTACTAACTAATCAGACAAATGACTGTGATTTGACCTTTTAACTATGATTCAACATGAAGTGAATCAAATTACGGAAAATTCAAATGTTTATTGTAACGCGCGTTACCATCACGATAAACTTTGACTGGTTCAGTAACAATATGCAATGGTCGCTCGTATGCTTCGTTCTAAAAAGTTGTATATTAAACCGAATTTAAAAAATAAAAACAAAAAAATAATAAGCTCTAATTTCCAACCATTCACTGGCCCCCAGCTTGCATTCCGTTTATCATCATCCTGTCAACGTACTGCCAAGATGTTATGCAAAGGTGGCAACGTCACATAACTAAGTTGTCGGAGGAGTCCCTTGGAATCATAGTCAGACTCATGGCAGACAAGTTTTTAATGAACTCAGGTGAAATGCATTCTCAGGTGGGCAACACTGCAGTTCTCTCATCTTGTGGAATTTGTAACTGTCTGCCGAATGTTAGCCATAAGATTAGTTGACAAGAACATTTAAATAGAAGTTAAATAGAGTGCTAAGGAGTTCTTTTAATGATATGTTTGTTTGATGCCGTGACTACCCCAACTAAGAATTTCTGGAAACACCAAACATATCCTTCTATTTGCTTTCGTACATCTAAGTAATGACTGCATTTTCTCATTCGTCAAACAGTTAGTGATAAGCTTAAAACTCAACAAAAACTGACCGCTAAACGCAACTGCTAAACACCTCATACTAACTACTAAATAATACTAAATAATACTAAAAATACTAACTCTGCATGCGCCGAAACACGCACTCACAGCCAGCTGAAGCACCCTGTACTGAACACTGCATGCCCTGAAGTGTAATTGATGTAGATTGATTGACTTGAATTAATGCCACTGTACATACGTAACAACCCGCTCAATACTAACAGTATTAATACAATATCTTCCATCTATTTAACTGAACGGATAAGGCTGTGGTTGAGGTCTCACAACGTGCCATACTCGTGCTTAGGCTCTTTGATTGGGATCGTACAAGTGATGACGAGTCGCTCGGCAGGTTAGGCAATCGTTTTCTCAACAACATCAATGAGTATCCGACAGAAAATGAAAAACACATCCAAAACAATACTCTTTATCCACTGAGCCCAAACAGACCACACAATTCTCACAGTACTCAATCCGCAAACAGTTTTTCCAAAGCTCCACTTTTTGGCCTGAGACCCGCTTAACACTTAACAAGAATTTTAAGTTATCAAATTTTAAAAATAGTTTATACTTAATATAATTGTTATTTCCATCGCCTGCAGAGCCTCCATCGATATATCCAGCGTTATCAAGAAGGGCGTTCTAGATACTGTAAGTAATATTTAATAGAAGCTGACAGCAGAGTGATAAATTCTTAGCTCAGCGCTTAGAGGAATGCTGAATTTTCTATAGTAAACTGAAATTGTAGAATTCCACTTGAACGGGTGGAAAACGCGTAATTACGCAATATCAATATTGAGGCGGGATAAAAGTCAGAGCAAAGATTTTATTTTTCTGCATCAACTTCCGTTTTTGTTTCACTCACCACCTTGGGTGGAAGATGGGTGAAATTCAAATTTTAAGGCAATATAAAGATTTTCGTAAAAAACACTATTCATGCTTCCACAGTGGCTTACTCTAGAAGATGCCAAGCATGGCGATCTGCATGTACGTCTGCAATGGTATAAACTGACCGCGGACCCGAATGATCTGCAGCAAATCTTACTGGAAACGCAGCTGCTGCGTGTGACGACCATGAGTTCGGCTGTGCTAAGCGTTTTCATTGACTCGGCTAGGCATCTGAAGGTAAATAATATCACTCAGTTGGCTGTCAATCGGAATCTTGAAATCATTTCGTTTAAATCCTACACAGCAAGCACGTTCCAACTCCAAGCCCGATCCCTATTTGGTTTGCAGCGTCAATAAACAAAAGAAACAGACTGCAATGATCCTCCGCGATGATTCGCCCGTGTGGGAGCAGGGTTTCACCTTCCTGGTGAACAATCCGGACAACGAGTGCCTGAACATTAAGATCTATGATCAGAAGACAGGCAACGATATCGGCCAATATACCTACACACTGAGCACTCTGCTGAAACAGTTCAACATGGAAGTCATACAGCAACCCTTCCAACTGCAGAAGTCTGGACCCGAATCGAAACTATATATGTCACTATCTCTGCGCATTTTGAAGGCTGGCGAAATCGTTAAGGAATCCGAATCCTCGGAGCAGGTGGCAGCCCTGCAACGCAGCACCTCCACCGACGTGCCAGTACTGTCCTCCCAGTTATCCAAGGTAATCAAATCTTGAATATATGATATATATTTGGCGTATAAGCAGAATCTTTCTGATTTATTCATCCGCAAAGATAATGTACAGCGAACTGTTCCTTCTCATTTACAAGGATCAATGTAAAAATCCACTGTATAGAAATGTCAGTACGGGTGAATTATAACTTGACCATATATATGGTCTCGTCCATCTGAATAACCATTCTGAGATTCATTTTGGACTACATTTTATGATTTGAAGAATTCAAAGCGTGATGATGTAAATCAAAATATTATATTGTCTGTAGGCCAGAGGGGCTTTCGTAGTCAAGCACACTCTAGTGCAGCATTTCCACTTGTTTCTAATTGATAGTTGCCGTGACTTTCAATCATAATTTTCATACGGCATAATTTTGTTGTGAATTTTCAAAAATCATGTAATAATGAATTAATTAATGAATTATAACCGCATTCCCTCAACGCATCCGTTGACCGCCAATCAGTCAGTCAATTAGTCTTAATTAGGATTTGCGACATCGATTTTTCGTATAATTATATGCAATCATAATAGGTTGAAATGTTTGTTAATGTTTGCTGGTCCAGCAAAATATGTATATATAGATTTAAGCACACTGCCTGCCCACCTACCTCACCGTAACATCTCCATCTGTTACCTGTTTAATTCGTTATTGGTTCTGCCTTTGATTAGGACGATCAGCCGAAGAGCAAACGCCTTTCCGCAGAGGCTCCGATTGGCGAGGAGGAGGCCGTCAAGAGTTCGCCAGTGATTCCGGCATCCGCATCCCTGGAGAAGCCAATTAGCGAGGTTGTCAGCTCGATGCTGACACATCGTATGCCCGAAACGACCTCAACTGCCGGGGAGCATGGGCTTGGTCGCATACAGCTGTCCATCACGTACTCGGAACAGCGCCAGAAGCTCGATGTAACCATACACAAGATAATGAATATACCGTTGCGTGATCCCAGCAGCATACCGGATCCATATGTCAAGCTGTATTTGCTGCCTGGTCGCACCAAGGAGTCCAAGCGCAAGACCAGCATCATCAAGGACAACTGCAATCCCGTCTATGACGCATCCTTCGAGTACCTCATCTCGATTGCCGAGCTGAGGCACACGGCACTCGAGGTTACCGTCTGCACACAGAAGGGTTTCCTATCCAGCGGCAGTCCCATCATTGGCATGGTGAGTGAGCAGGTCAAAAACCAACCCCTAGTTGACTACCTGAGCGCGCCAGCAGCCGCTCGCTTGTAATTCCCAACAGCTTCTTTGGCCTCAGCTGCATTTATATAGCTGGTTTTTTGGTCTACATTCGTTCTTGCTTCGGCAGAACATATACTAAAATTGGAACGATACAGAGAAGATTAGCATGGCCCCTGCGCAAGGATGACACGCAAAATCGTGAAGCGTTCCACATTTTTTTGTATAAATATTATACACTTGCCAAGGGTATAATTTTTTCTCATTAAATTTTTAATGCCTTGAAGGCAACTTTGTCCGAACACAAAGTATATTTGTATATATTTTTAATCAGTGTATAGGGTATGCAATCTTCGGCACTCAAAAAAAAAATAGTTCTTTGTGTTTTTTTTTTTTTAATAAATTTTCTATTATTTGTTATTTTGCAGCTTAAATTACCTTTGGATGACAGCGATATTACAGCGCCCGCTGGCCTAAAGTCCTGGTTTGATCTGCAGCCAGAGCTGAAGCACGAGTGAATCAGCTGGGGGAAATTTGAATTATTCATCAGGAATCACAGTCAGCTGAATCTGAACTGAACATTTGTCATTGTTTTGTATTTAATTTGTGTATAAAAGTAAATTGTATTTATGACTCTCTTAAGCAACACTGGTTGGTCTTTCAACACTAGAACCAAAACTCTCTTAGTCGTGCCTCTGAATCTGTATTTTCTATTGTAGTTTAAATAACGCGAACAATTTGTGTTTACAACTGTAATTAATGTGTCTTTAACAAATAAAAAAATATTCATTTTACAAAAATAATCGTAAGAATCTGATTTTTCCAGATATTATAAACTGTTTTAAACGACGCCGCCAAATTTGCTTATCTACATATATTTTTCATTTTTACCACGCAGAAAGTGGACGTAGGCAAAATATAAAGATATTTAGATGATCTCATCAAAAACAAATGTACTTACAATTCCAGCCTTTCAACTTTAGACTTTAGGCTTATGAAGATGTATAAAATAAATTTAGGTAAATCGAATGAAAGTACAAAACTTGCGTTGAACACCATGCATTTAGTCACTCAATCAGACGAACAGTTTTATATATATATATGAACAGATTTAAATGTCAAAATGCTCTTAATGGAAGTTTGGAACTTATTTTTTTCCCACAAAAATTAAAGTTTAATCAAAAGTGCGTACTTGGCAAGTTGAGAATATGTCATAGCAACGACACCGCGATTAGCGTATACACAAACCAATGTGAAACCAACAACAGATGTCGCTTTGTGCATTTTGCTTGTTTGCTTATAATTCCCAACTGCGTATTGGGCCGGTGCTGCATTTATATAGCTGGTTTTTTGGTCTACATTCGTTCTTGCTTCGGCAGAACATATACTAAAATTGGAACGATACAGAGAAGATTAGCATGGCCCCTGCGCAAGGATGACACGCAAAATCGTGAAGCGTTCCACATTTTTTTGCACTACCCACCCCCCTCACCAACGCCTTAGCTTTATGTACATTAATGATTAATCCCAATATTCTACTAATCTTTTTGTTGATTTTTTTTGTTGCCGTCGCCATTTATTTTTGCATTGAAATTTGGTATTTATTTTGAATATATAGACATTGTTTTCTTGGTTGGACATGCATAATGAGTGTGTTTTGTGTTCGTATTCTATATATAATTTATACTTTTCGCTGTTCCTCATTATTTTATACATAATAATTATGTTTTCTTTTGTTTTGCCTTAAGGCTGACACAATTTAAAATTTTCAACACAGTTTCTTAAAATTTATTTTCTCTTGTACATAAGTATATATATATATATAATTATTTATTTATAATTGTTTATCAATTAGTTTCAATTGTTGTTGGACACCACATAAATTTGTTGGGTTATCTGATAGCCTTGCAGGCCATCTAAAGAGCTGTATAACTCGATAGTTTCTTGACTTGGAATCGGCACGGAACTGTAAGATGTGAAGCGCTTCGTTTTCTAACGAAATTCTATAATTTGTTTTGTGTTTCATATTCCTAATTAATATGAAAATTCATATGTATGCTTTAAATAGACAAATAACATATGAATATGATTCAGGCTCTCTTGTTGTATATATATATATTTATATATATTTTTAGTTCCCACAGTATATTCTTGGTTAATTCAATTTTTGACCATCATTTAAGCTGTATGTAAACCTACGACATATATGTATATGTTATGTATATCGTTTTGATCCTTAATTATTTACTGAATATGAAACTTGTATTCAACTTTGAGGTAGTTAATCCTTTGTTTAGGTATTTGACGATTAACAATTACGTTATTGATATCCACATATAAAAATTGGTAAATATGAAGCACATTTATTTAAAGCACACATTTACAATACATAAATATAATATTTATGTTTTCTTGGTATATATATGTATATATATATTCTTTTTTATTTTTTTTTTATTCGCATTTGTTCTTGTTACAGTATAATTAAGAATTATATAGGTTAATATTTGTGTATGTGTATAATATTCAGTATGCTCTTTACACATATTAAACACTGAGGAACTGTCGTGCTTACTTCAATGCTGTCTCGCACTTCATTTGCATATATTACTTGCAGTGGGACAAAGACAACCCTAAACCTAAGCAACTCTGTTATACACTACAGTATATATATAGCAGGTTTTACATGCCCAAAAAATTTTAGTCGCTTTGCTTGCGCTTGTACTTTGTGTGTGTGGCTGTAGCCATGTGTTTGTGTGTGTGTGTGTGTGTGTGTGTGTGGGTGTATTAGACGTAAATGTAATTTTGAATTCGTATTCATATCACTTATGGATTTGAAGCTCCTAAAACATGAATTTGAAAACCCTAATCAAAACTGATGGCCAATCGTTAATTGTGTATACATATTTTACAAACATATTAGTTCCATATATGTTTCTTTTCCATCTTTTCCATTTTGTAAGCCTAAACTAAGAACTACAATTTGTTTGTCACGTGCTCAACTCAGTGGGTGATACGAGTGCCTAAGCTCTAAGTTTTTAACTTGAATCACTTTTGTATTTTATATTTGTATTTTCGTTCTCATTTATCAAAGCAAAGCAACGTAAACAATACAAAACAAAACAAAAAAAAGAAGAAGTCCAGACTAAACGCCTTTAGAATGTTTTGAATCTTTTTCTTACTTTTTTTTTTAGTTTTTTGATATCAACTGAACACAACTTGTTGCGCAACAAAAAGCAATTATAAGGCTAGACCAGCCCCAACCCAGGAAAAACTTAAAACCCACGAATCCCTAACAAATATACTCAATACAAATATCACAAAATTAGCATCGAAGCAGAGCAAAACGTTCTTTAAAAAATCAAATAAACAATCGAAAATAATCAAAATGATAGATATATATCGAACATAATAAAACTCAAAGTGTGTTAAGCTTGTTGTTGTTTTAGGTTTTTTTGGTGTTTTTGTATTTGAAACTTAATTCGTATGCACTTCAAAGAGCGACCCGCAACTAAATTTAAAAAATGAATGTAATTTAAGTTTTGCAATTGTTTGTTTTGCCTTAAGTAATATATTAGGTTATTATATTGAAGGTAATTCATATGCGAAACGTAAATAATATGGTTTAATTTATATAAAACTTAAACGTATATAGTACGTAAAACCTGATAAGCATATTATTAGCCAAAGGTTTTACCTGAACAAAATCGAATCATATAAAGAAAAATTAAAATTATATCACCACGCATATATATATATATATATATATATATATATATATGTATATATTAGATCTATATAGATAGATGTACAGTATATGTAATTAAAAGATGCATCAAATTTAACAGCAAAAATGCAGTCGAATTCAATAAAGCAATAATATTTTCATTTTAACTTAGGATCAAACAGAAACTTAAAGACTGACAACCTAGGACCAATAAAAATGTATGTGGGAGCGGGTGGGGCCAACAAACATAATGAACATAATTGTTTTATATAGATATATATATATATATGGATATAACTATTAATATAAAAGTAAAAGCTCTCCATTTTAGCGAATCGATATAGAAAAAACTTAAAGCTAAACATTGAACCAATTTATACATCTTGTTTTATATAGCATCAAAACTTAAACAAATAAATCGCAGTTGTATATATAGTTATATATGTATGTATAATAATTAAATATGTACGTGCTTGTTTAGTTATCGCGTTGCCTAATTTTGTCTCGCAATTCAAATTTTAAAAAATCAAAAACTTATGTCGTAAGCAGGTAAAACTGGTAGCTAATTCCTAGACTCGTTTTCTTTGCATTACCTCCATAATTTTTTCTTTCGTTCTTCTTCTTAAAAACTAAACAAAATTTCGTAGTGTTTTTGTGTTTGTGGTTGCCTCTTTCTTTTCAGTTTGTTTCGTTTTTTAGCAATTTTTCTTATTTCTTTTACATTTAGCTCGGGGAATTCTTTTCTCTTTAACTTTTGCGCTGGCCAAATAGCTCGTTGCACAGTTTGATGCATTTATCTGTTGCACGCAAAGCCAGGCTCTTAAATCACAGTTACAACTATTTCTCACTTTCGCTCTTATCCTGTTATCATTCACATATTATCACGCACTCAAGCAGAACATTTTTTAAAAATTGATGTTTGGTTAGTCTAGTTTCTGGGTTACATTCTTAGAGGTGTGGATGGCTGGGCTGGGGATCTAGTTGGCGGGGGCTGTGGCTACATGCTAGTCAATGCTTAAGTCTAAACTTGATGGGCGGCTCGTTTCAGCGTTGGATTTTTTGGTCTATGATTTACGCAGATCCTCGAGCCCACCATTGGGCAAGCCGCCGCGCATATTTTCCAAGACTTTATTCACAAAATCTGTAGATCCGCCCGCAATGCGTATGCCCGCTATAGGATATACGAAAACAAAATCCAAAATTCATTATTCAATTCTGTTATCATATTCCATGTCCAACTCACATGTAGCCGTTGCATAAATGTGTTGTATTTGCTGATCCACCTCCTCGGTGGACTCGCCCTGACTCTTTGTGCGATGCTTCAGTGCCAGCGCCTGTTTCAGCTCGGCAATGCCATTGATCAGACGCTCTGAATTCAATTTAAAGATAAGTATCGTATTAGCGCCTTAAACGTATTTCAATTCGACTCACTGTGCTCAATTTCCAACCCATAGAGTTTGATCTTATTAGCCTCATGCTGTGCCTTCTTCTTCAGACGGCAGGCACGTGAGGCCAATTTGTTCTTCTCCTTGCGCGACTTGGGACGCACATTGAAGGGCAGCTCCGACACGGGTGTCATATCGTTGATGGTGCGACTCAGCTTGTCCAGCTCCTTGCCAATATTATGCAGCTTGCGCGCATTTGGCGTCAAATCGTTGCCGTCCCCCTTGCGAGCCTTGCCACTGTGCTGTTTGTTTAAAAAATAAAACCAAATATGATTAGAATTAGATCAAAGAACTATTTCATTTATAAGTCGGGTATAATGAGGTTACCCCGGCTAATCCCTACTAAGCGATGCTTTGCTTTGCTTCCCTTTTAACCTTATTGTTAATTCCTAGATTTGACATTTTCGATAGTTTATCATTAAAGTTTCAAGCTTTACTATTGAAATTTATGGTTCAACATTGACTTTAAAATTCCTACAAACCAGGGCTAAAAAAAAAAAATTGTCGGTGATACTCTCTGCCCAGAGATTCGCTTCGTGCACCTAGCTAACTGCAGGCATTAACACAGGTTTGATTTAAGGCCTGGTCTTTAAATATTTTCAATATTTTATAGTCAATGAAAATGTTGGCAAAAAATTGGCTTCTATCAAATTTGATTAGATTATATAATTGCTGGACCCAAAGTTATTTTCCTTTAGGTTGGGTCTCTATCTATATTGGTTTTTTATTTTTATTGAAAACCATATTTTTGGTTTTGTTTCGGGTTTGATAATATTAGGATGAAACTATCTTTCGATCCTATCCTATCTTCTTTAATCCTTTAAATGTTTATATAAAAACTAAGCCCCAATTGGTTTTTGAATATCTTTCCTATTTCGTTAAAGTGCTATTTGGACGCACCTTATACACTTTAATGCCGCGCACGGAGCAGGTGGGACTGAACACGGGATCTGTGACCTCGTTGAGCACATGGGGATCTTCTAGCTTGGACTGGAAGACAAGCCGCTTGCCCTTCGGCCCCTTGGCCTGTACATTGTACTGCCAAAAGAAACGCTCCTTGCCCTTGCTGCTGCTGAGCTGATTCGGTGTCGATGTGCGTGTCTCATCCTCATCCCCAGAACCGCCTAAGGGAGAGTGGGCGAGAGAGAGAGAGATCATTAGTAAATATATATCGAAAATATTATGCACCAATTTGACTCACAGTTGTCGCTGCTGAAATCGTCGTAGTTGTCGCTATTCTCGCTGGATGCATCGTCCTCGTCATCCTGGGAGAAGTCGATGCCATCAGGCGATAAAACGCTGCCGGTGCTAAGCGAGGAGAAGCTCTCGGCCTCGGCCAGCGAGCCGGTTGATAGTAAATGCTGTCGCGGCTCACGTCGCATCCAGATGTGCTCCAGGCCCAAATGCGTTGGCGCCGACGACGATAGACGCGACAGCTGTGAGCTCTCCACTGCGCCGGCACCCGTCTGATAGCCAACCGATTTGCGTACGCCGCCCGGCGGCGCCTCGGTTATGACCACCTGACCGGGGCTATGATTCGAACTGGAGCTAGCATTTGTCGTGCCGATTATGGTGCTGTTGCCGCTAGCGGCGCTGCCAAAGCCGCTGCTGCTGCCACCCGGACTGAGCGCAGCCGTCTGACTGAGCAGTGAATGGCGGTCAGGAGGCGAGGACATAGCCATGCCCTTCTTTAGCATCTCCTGCATGTTGCGCGACTTAACCAGCTGATATTGTGAGCGGCTGGCATGCGGCGGTGGTGTCAGCGGCGACTGCGATGCCTGGCTGCCCGGCGAGAAACTAGAGCCCAATTGAGATGGCGGCTTCTGGGGTGTGCTATGGTACAGCTCAAATGTGTCCGCCTGTTGTTGTTGCTGTTGTTGTTGCTGTTGTTGTTGCGTCTGTTGACCCTGCGATAGCAGCGTTTGCAGCTGCTGCTGCTGCTGCTGCTGTTGCTGCTGCTGCAACAGCTCCAGAGGTGGGCCCACGAGCGAATCGGGTGTTTGCGACTGCGGCGACAGCAGAAAGTTAACATTCTGTGCGGGCAGCAAATCCTCAATGGTGCTCATCACATCCAAAAAGTCACCTCCATTCAAATCGGCCAGCTCGGCAGCCTGCATTTCGGCCTTGTCGTTGGGAAAGATATAATCATCATCTAGATTAAATGGCTCGTGTTTTGTATGGACAATGGCGCTGCTGATGTCGCTCCACATGGCATTTGAATTGGGCGTCATCTCGTACAGCGATGCACTGCCGCTGACCACATCCTGAAGCAGCGATTGCTCTGATGGCATGTTCAAGCTGAGACAGGAGCTCAGATCAGGCGTAAAATAGTTGCTGCTGCCGGCACCGCCACGGTTATTGCTGCCAGCATTGTGTCCGCTTGTATCCGTGCCGCCGCTGCTGTAGAGCGTGGAGCTGAGCGGCGAGGCAGCGCCCAGGCTAACGTCCTGCAGCAGCGTCGGCGACAATGACGCAGCATCCAAAGCATCCAGTCCAAAGTCGGAGAGTTCGCCTAGTTGCAGCGGTTGTTGCTGTTGTTGTTGCTGCTGTTGCTGCTGCTGTTGCTGCTGCTGTTGCTGCTGCTGCTGCAACTGTTGCTGTTGCGCCATGCTGGGCAAACTGTGCAAATGATGTTGCTGCTGGCGCGGCGTTGGCGTCAATGTCGGCGTACCGCTCAGCTGCTGATACGGATGATGGTGATGGTGACTATGATGATGGCTCTGATTGGGATTATTGCTGCGCGGTATGCTAATTGCAGTTGTGCTCAGCATCACATTCGATGTGTAGCTGCTGCCGCTGCTGCTGCTCGAAATGGCACTCGAATTGTTGTGGCTGTTGTTGTTGTTGTTGTTAGTGTTAGTGTTGCTGTTGTTGCTACTGCCGCCGATATAGCTGCCCGTTTGTATGCTCAGCGTGGGCGTGGTCAGCGCATATAGTTCGTATTTCAATGGATTGCTGCTGCTGTTTGAGCCACTGTCAAAGAACTCCGATGACATGGAATATAACTGATTCTCAGTCATGGCGCCGCAAGTGGAGATCAACACGGGGGGAGCAGTGAAAGTGTGTGGGCAACTAATGCAGCTGCTGCAGCTGCTGCAGCTGTTGTTGTTGTTGCTAGTGCTCTGCGCCTGGCGCCCAGGCGCTGCGCTGCGACTGCGCAGTTGCTTTAGAATAGCTACAAAAGATATTAAAAAAAAGAGTTAGTTGCTTGAACTTCTGATTAAATTAAACATAAATAGTTTTAAATAGCATATTTGATGGCTAAAAGCAAGCTTCAAGGCCTGTCACATTCACAGCAACAACAACGAGTATAGCTAAGCACTGAAATCGGAATTTCTATCGTATCGCCGTATCTCTGTCTGAACTTTAAGAATTGGCATTTGCAACTTTTAAATTATCCATAAAATCATAATTTAAACACCTCGCGGCAATAAAAGTCTACACGGTTACGTTAATTCACAGCGACAACGTTTATCGATAATTTTTAATTTAAGCAAATATCGATAAGAAATTAATTAACCTCTACAACTTTTAAATGACAAATATCGATATAAATGTGCGTAGACAACATCGATACAGAAGAAGATAGCGGATATCGATAATCAATGAATATCGATAATTAAAGAAGTATTATTATTTGATAGATCTTCGATAGATGTAAACGATATTTCAAGTACTTTTAGTAACCGTAGTTATAAGACAGATATTAGCTTTAACGATTATATCGATACTGTTAAGGTAATGATACCATACACATTATAACAGCTCTTAAATATCCTACAAGTGTATAACAGTCGCTTTCGACTCTACAAAATTACCTACTTATTATTACTTATTAACGTTTATGCTAATTACATTTGCAATGCCAGATTCCAATTCAGTTGTTAGTTATCTAAAACTGAGCCGGAACTGTACTGTAAAGTGATTATATGTAATGCCAAGACTAAGACGTTGTGTTATATGATTGATGGGCTACCATGCAAATGATGTAGAAGCTCATCACGTGGCAGGTAGAGAGAGTGTGAGATTGTAAGAACCAGAGAAAGAGAAGGAGAGAGAGAGAGAGAGAGAGAGAGGTACCTAAAACATTTACCAAGGAACTAGAACCGAAATGTTTTATTGTATTTTAAGACACATTTTCATCAGGTATTCACATATTATTTATGAAGATCTTTAAAAGTTATTTTTTTAATTAAAATAAATAAAGAAGAAACTTTCACGTTAAAGTAAAACTATAAAAGATAATCGCACAGCAACTGGCATACAAATGTGATCGCCGGCTTCTTTAATATGTTTTGCAAATAGTTTTTGACTTTTTGTTATTGTTTTTGTTGTTCTGCATAAGTTTTTTACGCAAAATCCACTATATCCCCCCCCCCCCCCCCCCCCATCATCCTCTTTTTTTGTTGTTGAACCAATTCGCAGTTTTGTTTTGCGCAAATTAGAATCAAAAATAGAAAGGAACAATAAAAAATAAAACATAATTTGAAAAAAAAAAAACGAGAAATCAAGCCAAAAGAAACTAAATAACAAAAATAGGGAACAAAATAAAATTGAAGAGGAAAAAAAACTATGCCAAAATGAGTATGCGCTTGTTTTTGTTGCTTTTCTTGTTGTTGTTGTTTATGTTGTTGTAAATTTCGTGGTTCGACGGCTTTTGTTTTTCGCCAGGCAAGTGACTCCACGGTTTGTTATTGTTGTTGTTCTTCTCTTTGTAGATTATAAATATTTATTAGTTTGTTTACAAAGAAAACGAAACTTCTGGTTGATTTTTGGTCGTAAATTTAAACGGCTAAATGCATCTAGTATCTGGATTTCCCTGCGGCGCATTTCGTACAAGAGATGAAAATCGATTATTGGGAAATTGAGCCGAAAGTCCTTCACTAATTTTTCAGAAATAATTTGTTTTTTTTTATTTGGTTATTCAAGAATACATTTTCGGTATATAGACTAAGTGCAAATAGTATAGGATGCAAATACCTAACCTCAAAAATAGAGTTCTATGTAAATAATTCAAAATTGCAAAGAAAAACCCGAGCAACAAAGCCTTTCAGGTTGCAAAAGAGTTATTATGTAAATCGTCTCCGAATTTTAGACAGTTTAAAACGTATGTATAATGACTTTTGTATTAATTAATATAACGTTTATGTGATCGGTTATCGATAGTGTTATCGAAAACACTTGCATCGGTTTTACTTTACAATTAAGAAGATTCTCCGATCTTACACAAAAATTGTAAATATAATTTATATTTATTATTAAAGTTTAAATAATTGTGTAATGCTATCGGTATTTTAATTGAACTATAAAGTTATCGATAAGTTTTTCTTAAGCAACCATAACAACACAATGCCACATTGGGTGGAATGTGTTTTATATAGTTTATGTAATATCCGTAATTTACAACAAAATTAAATTACATCATTTCTTCCAATCTAAAAATCACTCACTCTTCGATATTATTATCGATTACTTTAGAAATAAATAAAAATAAATTTCAAGTAATATGTTTTTAAGCTAACGTAAAACCCGAATACCCCATTCTTTTCTCTGATAGATCAGCGATGCATCGTTGATCGATCATGTTTGTAAAGTACCGACAATTCAGTAATTCTACTTATTATTAAATCAGCTGTTTAACATTTTCGAACGTATTCGCATGCATTAATATGTGAACATATGAATGTAATGTGTACTTATGTATGTATGCTTAAGCAGAGACCTTGGAATTAATATCAGCCAGTCGAAAAAGCTTATCTATAGCAGCTTGTCAGTCGGTTTGGGTGATAACTCGACATATGTATGTATTCACAGCTGATAGCTGAATCAATTACAACAGGCCAAACATTAGAGTGGACCGACCGAGCATTGTCTCCCGTTCGTCAAGGTCATACGAGAACACACCAGAACCCGAGCAAACGCAACACACACACACGCACACACGCGCACACACACAGACAATTTGTAGCATCTAAAGCGGCACTTAAACGGCAAATATAACAACAATTCTACTTTAGCTAAGTTAAATGCTTGTTTTTTTTGGTTTCCTTTACATATTATTCCTATTGCTCGAACACGCCTCTTCAACAATCCCCCGCTTCCCCCTTTCCCATTGTTGGCATTTAAATTGTTTAATATTCGTCAAAGGTTGCCGAACGCGTCGAAGGCCAAACAATTTTTTTTTTCAATTCGAAACAAAAGCGCCCTCTATGAACAAATGTGGGTATTATAGGAGAAACATTTATATGTACGTATGTATGTACATGCATACATCTGTATATATGTATATATAGGAAACATATGGCAAGAGCTTATATACAAAAGCTACGAATGGGAATAGACAAAACACAAATAGAATTTATTACAAATTTGCTGCCGAAAAGCATAGCAAAAAACAGAAATAATAAATAACAAAAAAATACTTAAAAACTTAAGTGGAATTGTACAGAAAATACAAAACAAGCCGAAAGCAAGCAAACATTTTGATGGGCCAAGTGTAGAAGAGAAAAAGCGGGAGAGAGCACGAAAAAAGCTTTAAAAAGAGCATTACTGTATAATTATCATGACTATTATTATAGCGAACAACATGCTTACTTCAGAAAAAAGGTAATAAACGCTTTGCAGAGGAGAACGAGAATATAAAGATAACGAGAAGAAACATCTGATGCAAAACATATGATTACAAAAGAAAGATACATTATAAACAAAGAAAAAATAATAAATAAATAATGAACAAATATACATACATATTTGTATGAATATTCAAGTTTTGCATGTGTAAACAAAGCGAAACGGCACAAAGAACGCGTGGGTTGCACGTGAAGCGTGTTTTGGTTTATACTTGGGTGGGGGAAGGGTTTAAAGTACAAAACTAACCAAAAGGCGTGACCAAAACAAATAAAACACACCAACAAAAGTAGCTGCTCATGACGTCATATATGAAATTCAAATACATATGTATATAAAAAGTCATAAACATTTTAAATTATAGAAATGTATAAAAATTTTGACTCAAATTGTAAACACAGCAGACAGGGAATTTCAACACACAATGAAATAATGTGCAATAATTATAAACAAAATATGTATATCAAGAGCAATAATACAAAGAAAACAGTTAGGCCAGCCGAGCTATCAACAAATTAGAGAGAGAAAAAAAGGGCGAAGAGTGGCATGCAGCACATAGAGAGCAAGCAGCGCTCTGTGGGTGCAGTTATTAACCAATCTCAAGGTCAAAACTGTTTATTTTTTATATTTTGTTTTGAATTTATAATTTATCGCAGTGTTGCCTTTGTTTTACACACCGATACAACAAAGAGTTGTAAACAAAACTAGGTGCTTGTAAAAAGCTTTTGAGAGCGTGGGCTGTTTGTGTACTCCGTCTTTCTCTCTCTCTCTCAATAGCACACTCAACGTATGCGCTCTGTTTCTGTTTTCTGACTGTTTGCTTTTGTCGTCATTTTCGTATAAATGTATAAAGCGTGCGTGTGTGTATATATGCATATGTAGTAAATAATCTAAAGCTTTTTGGTTGCTTTGGCTGGCAGTCGACGGGTTTTTTGTGTGTAAATAAAATATCGTTACAATAACAAAACGCCAGCGCTTGGGAAGCTTTTACATTTCGCCAGAATATATACTAGAATTCTTGACACACACACAAACACACAGACAACTATGAAGGTGTACATGGCGTGTGGCCGCTGATACTGCTTAAGGTTCGCGAAAATATAAGCGAATAGATCGGATAAATATTCAAGCATGCAGTTGTCCTATAGACTGACCAGAAACTGACTTCGTTTTGCCTCACACAATAAAAGAATTTAAATTTTGTAAATCAGAACCCTGGCACGTTGCATAAGCCTCGCGACACAGACACACTTTGCATTATCAGTTTCTTTTGAGAGAGCGCATGCAGTCTGACAAAGCAAAAAAAAAGTCAACCATACAAACATACATACACACATACACACACACACACAGGCAAATCTATTGCACTCTCGCTCTTTTTCATTGCACCGGAAAGTTGGATTTGTGTTGATTTCGATCGTTGAACGGGCTCGCAACTTCCGTTGTGCATTATCAATGGGTCACTGACTAGTTCTAGTCGCCCCCTTTGACACTCGTATCACCCCCTTTACCAATCTGGCCGACAGTTCTTATTTGTCAACACTGAAC